ACGGCAGGACAAGGCTGTTCTAGAGAATGGCCTCTTTAGATACTCCAGTGAGAAGGGAGAGTGAAAGTTCTGTGTATTGTAGAATGAACGAAAAAAGAAATAGTACAACAAGAAGTCACGATACATTTTGGTTTTCCAAGTTGAATATTGGGCTAATGGTAAAAACTGATATTTGAAACAATGAGGCAGTACGATTCTCAATAAAAATGTCGATCCTGCTTCGAAAACGTCGCGTGTGAACAGGTAATCCCATGCATGAAGCAGCCATTTCATATGCCCTCCACAAACAAGATGCATATAGTCAAGGGGAATTTGAGTTGGAAATAATAAAATATCCGTTAATGGAGTACTACCCAATATTCCCATACACGCCTAGAATATACAACGAATTGTATAGATTAGAGATGGTAGATGATAAAAGACGAACTTACTGTTCTAGGATAAGTACCTGTACTAAATTTTAAATAATGTTTGTGCCGTTTTGGTTCATGCCGTTCGCTCACATAGGGATAAAATACTTCTTTACCGATAAGTTTACCGTGATAATTACAATGTGGACAAGCGTCGTAGCCATTGAACTGCTTAATGTTTGCATGAGAAGCAAGTGCGGGAAGATCGAATAAGATTAACTGTGTACGAACGCTGAATGGCTTTACGGTTCCATCAATTAATTGCAGTTTTATCCCATCTCGATGCAATGATTTGAGTTGATCCACCACACCTCTCCACATCAAATCCCGATTTGGATGAATAGAGCCTAGCCATGCCCCCAAAATCATAACTGCACTGTTATGATCTCTTAACGGTGGTGGTATTTCGACTATGATGCCTTGGATCGGCCATAATGACTTTCCACCTACTTTTACCAGTCTAAGACAAAAAAGCAGAAGAAATACTACGATTTCGTTCTCAATTCATATAAGTAAATGTCAACTCACGGCGCTCCGTCTGTTTGTAATACTATAGTTAGATGATTAAACTTAGATACAGTTAATGGCAGTTGTCGAAAGATTGCCCCATTTGGAATATCATACGGCAAACGGTCGAAATCAGCTGAATATTCACTAATTAACGATTCGTAACGATCAGCTACAGCTTTTAGTTCCTTCGCAACATCATTTACTATCATTTCTACAACGTCAATGTATAATCGTGGTTTATCATTTAGCAAACAAGTTCTCGAACAATGTGTATCTTGAGGTGACTTTAGAAGGTATAAACATTCTCGGCAATAATACGATACCTTTTTGGATGGTTCAATATTAATGACTTTTAATAATCCGAAAAGTGTTCGAGGTAGTTTATTCGTCTTTGGTAACACCTTATGCAACAAGTTCAATACTTCTTTTACACCGGACTTGTTTAGGTTGAGTTTTCTTGCAAGTCTGATAATCTCACGAGCAGAATTGCGAAGAGAGAGTGGTGAGTAATCATACAACGGCAGATTGTTTTCGTAATCGTCACTAAAAAGTTCTTCTTCATTATCATCACTTCCATCGTCACAATCACCATCGCTGTCTATATCAGTTAAATAAGGCTGATTACCATCACAATTATTCTCATTTGACTCGCACACATCATTGTATTCAAAAACTTCTTGTTCAATACTGATTGTTGGTCGTTGCGATGTTTCATCAAGTGTCATCTCACCGTCACTGCCTGTCAATTCCTGAACTCGTTTTCTCCGCTGACGCTGACATTCTTTCTTTGTTTTAATATATGGATAAAAGTTCATGTTTAAAGTAAACAAAAGAAGAATGGACGACAAGTCGTTCAGTTAAGAGATTTCAGCATCTAAAGTAACTTAGAAAGTGATAAGCCATGTACAGTCCTCTCTCTTTACAATACTCCTGCGAATTTCGCTTTTTCGCTGTGGAAGAAGCGTTTTCCAAAGTTGAGTCTAAAGCCAAAAAGAAGTCAAATTTAATTCCCTACTTTTGATCTGGCAAACCCGACTTCATACAATTCAATCTTCAGGATTAAATCACAAAAAAACATTTTCTACGCTGAAATTCAGCCTCTAGAAACTTCGTTTTGGCGCATGATTTTTAGGAAATCAAATTTACTGTATTTCATGTTCCAGACTCGAGTCTCAAAAACGCTTCCTTCAATGTGAAAAACGCTAACTGAAACTATCAAAAAAAATTGTTTTCGACATCAGTATTTCAATAAAATATTGATACGGGTGCCTACCTGATGCAGAGACAACAAGAGGATAAAAGATGGCGTCGTCGATATAAAAGAAGACGAATATATTTCTAGCGAAAATCGCATCTTCTTCTTTTATTTCATCTTCTAGATCTATTCAGTCATCGAAATAGCAAAGATTCATTGTATAAACGGGTGACTGATGTCAGAGGATGACTCATCTTCGGCTAAAGCTAAGAATTTTTCTACTTCCATTTTTTTTTTCGTTCTTCCTTTGACTATATGCGCTACATGTGAATAATCCTTTAAAACAATGAATTTTTGCTGTATCGATGACTAAATAGATCAAGCAGACGAAATAAAAGAAGTAGATGCGATATACGTGTACTTATAGATGCGATAGATGTCTACTTAAATAGTACTTTATTTTCTTTTTCTTTTCTATGGTCGACGCCATGTTTTTCCTCTTATAAACACACGTTGTACACATCGACGTTTTTCTTATCATTTCGGACGAGACGAAAAAGCAGTGTCTGTTTGTTTTAACAAGGCACTTATTTCTGAAAGTGGTGTATAGACCACTTTTATATTTGCACTTTTTGCAGTTTATGTCTGCTTTTTGGTTTTTCCAAAGCAGAACTGAAGCATCATGTTCCCGAAGAGAAAACCGGGTAAAACGTAGTGAAATCAGTATGTCAAGCCCTTACTTGCCAAGAATTTTCACAAAGTACTTCTCAGCAACAAAAGCAAGTATTCTTACCATTGAGAAGTACTTCTGAAAGTACATGGCAAGTGAGGAATTTTGAAAATACTTGCCAATTTTTCCAAGTACTTGTCAAGTACTTAGCAAGTAATCAAGTACTTGCATCAAGTACGTTCTCTAGGGCAATAACAAATTTAAACTTCATCCTGGAAATTCGAAGATCTTTTTGAATGGTAGTCTATATCGTCCTAAATACGATAAGCAAGTCAGAAATCTTCGAATTCAGAGAATTTCTCTCTAGGAAACG